AGTTAAAGACATGCAGTGGTACAAAATTAAGGCACAAATGAAGTGCTGGGCAGTTAAGACTGCAAAATATTCGACTAGCCGATTGTGCCAGTGCTCTGGTCAATCATTTGCTCAGTGAAAATGTCAAACACGTTCTGGCTTGATCGCGTGTTGTTTTTTGCAGCATTCAACCGCTCACTTCACGCGATTATTGCCAGTAATGAAACAGGAGGCCATCAACTTGAAACCTTAAACCTGCGATATCCTGAATGATCACGTCCCTTACCTATTAAAGAAAATACACATTGTAGTCCCCCCTCTCCCCCAAATATTAAAACGGTTGCTCATTGACTATGTCAACCTATTTACGACTTACTGACCTCTGCTATTCTCGACTAGCAAAGGATCCTTCCTGAGCGCAATGTATGAGACGCCAAGCTTTCTTACTCTAATTAAGGCCTAACAGTATTCATTCACCGAAACCACGGCAACGCCTCTTTGTCACAGCGCCTGATTGAATTTGGTTCAAATACCTTGTTTGTCTAACCACAATGAAGTTAATCTGCCATTGCGTCTTCGCAGAGGCGCTTCAGCATCTTCGACTTCGTTACATTGAGCCTGTTGAAGCCCATCAAATGCCAACTCGAGCTTATCGAGTACATTGGGTTGGCGGTATGAGCAGCGTTCATTTGTATATGGTGCGTGTTAAGTCCATTTCAGCTATGACAATCTCATTGACCAGTCGAAACTACATAGTGCTATTGACGGCAGGTTAGAGTCTGGCTGCTCAACGTGGTCAGCGTGGTGGTTTTCCTGCGGAGCTTTATCCCGCGTTCTTTCGACTCAAAGCTGTAGCTTGAGTCGAAATGATGATGAGTCGACCTGTGCTTGAGTCGACCTGTGATGAGCTTCTATTGCGATGAGCTGGCCAACTTTAATGCGCTCTTCTGTAAACCTCTATCTCTTCCGGACAAGAAGTCAAAATTAATAAAGTTTTCTTTTTTTAATTATAGTCCTCTATCACAGATGATGTTGGGGTGTCACCTTTCGGTTATTCACTTTTGTTCCTTTAGAAGGATTTCCACTCTCCCTCTCACACTGTTGCTCGTCTTTTCTCTCTCGCTGCTTGTAAATAAGCTACCAGTCATTCCAGGACTTGCGCCATCTCCTTTGACACTTTAATTACAGTGGCGACAATAGGCTAGCGCTGCCGCGGTGGTCTAGTGGCTAAGGTACTCGGCTGCTGAACCACAGGCCGCGGGATCAAATACCGACAGCGGCGGCTGCATTTCCGATGGAGGTGGAAATGTTGTAGGCGTGTGTGCTCAGATTTGGGTGTACGTCAAAGAACCCCAGGTGGTCGAAAATTCCTGAGCCCTCCACTACGGCATTTCTCATAATCATATGGTGGTTTTGGGACGTTAAACCCCACATATCAATCAAAACGATAGGCTACCATTCGATGACGACTTAGAGTGGGAGAATGCGCTGCAACACTTGACAACTAAAAGCCAGAGATATGTCGTTAGACACCGAAACAAAAAACAGCAAGGTGACACAAAAAGAATAAAGTATAAAACGTTTGCATCAATTTTCTTCGAATAGAGTGGGTCTGTGCAAAACGGCGAGAGTTATAGGTCTTGAAGAGCTTTATACATTGTTGTAAATACGGTATCAAACTACGGCGTCATGCGCGAACTGTCGTTGCGTATGTACCAGGCTTTTTTTATTGTATTCGTTCTTACATTTCCTTTTCAACTTTTGCTTATATACATGCGTGCAATAAGTGCTTTCTGAGTTGTTCCCGGCTGACACGGACTTGTTGACATCTTTGTTCTTTCAGAGCGGCGTCAAACTGACGCCGCTATGCAACAGTGCCGACGAGCCAAGAAAACACACACGCCATAAACAGGAACTCGAAGCTAAGCACCCAGCGACAGCCGTACAACTGACAACGATGGCCTCCCACATGCTTCCGAACTTCGAAGACACCACATATAAGTGGAAGCCGTACCTCATAAAAGTTGAGGCGTATTTTGAAGCGAATGCTATTTCGGATTGCGCAAAGAAGAGGGCACTTCTAGTAGGTGCACTTAACGCATCGATGATACAAATCCTGCTGGCAAAGATAGCACCCGCGAAGCCCAACACCTTGAGTTATAACAACGTAGTCAAGGTGTTAAATGACCACAACTACTCGAAGCGTAATTCAATCGCTGAAAGCTTCTAGTTTTTCAACCGTTGCCAACAGGAGGGGGAATCCATTCAGGATTTTGTCGTCGCGATCCGACGCAATCCAGACAATTGCATTTTTGGAAGCTCTCTGAACAAGCTACTTCGTGACCGAATTGTCTGTGGCATACGTTCAAGTGCTGTGCAGAGGCAACTTCTGGCAAAGACAAATTTAACTCTGGAGGACGCTGAGTTGATAGCGATGGCCACTGAAACTGCCGAAAAAGACGCCAGGACAAGTCGGCGGACGTACCACCTGTTCTTAAAGTGGAAGCGAGTCACAAGATGCCATCGCGATCAAGCATGGGTAGTTCAGAGTGATTGGAGTGTAGTAGGTGTGGCAGTATTAGGCATGACAGCGATAGCTGCAGATGGAAAAAACGCACGATGCTACGTTTGCGTCTTAAGGGGGCACCTGGCTAAAGCGTGTCACAGTCGCATTGGTTAATATGCTGCCGCCTGTTGGCGTGTCCCTCACGCGAAAGCTTTGGCCGTAGAAGAGGCTACTTCAGAAGAAGACACCAGCGATAGTGTTCAAATCTGGACGCTAGCGTCAGCGCGATAGAATTCACTTGAGCCGCCACTAAGACGAACGTTTAGTTGGGGAGGTGTGAACTTATCAATGGAAGTTGACACAGGTTCAACAGTTTGTGCCATATCACGACAGCTTTTTGTGAAACATCGCAAATGCTGGCCCAGCTTGAAGCCTTCGCACGTCAAGCTATCCTGCTACAGTGGAAGGTTGCCGGTGATGGGCGAGCTACAACTTCGTGCGAGGTACCACGATGTTGCTGTACACTTCTCACTCGTGGTTCTAGATTGCCCTGGACCAAGCTTGTGTGGTCGTGACCTGCTCAAACTTCTGGGACAAGCTGGCGCCCCAGTACTGCGAGTGGCACAGGAAGGCGAGGCGACGGCTGTTAATGCGGACCACCTCAACGTCAATTCCCTACGCAACGCCTACGAGGATGCTTTTTCGGAAAGCTTGGGGTTGATCAAGGGGCCACCAGCCAGCCTCCTGCTGAAAGATGATGCTGTTCCCAAATATTGTAAGGCGAGACCCATTACATATGCTTTGCGTGACAAAGTGTCGCAAGAACTGGACCGGTTAACGTCGCTAGGTATAATATTACCAGTCAAGCATGCTGATTGGGTGACACCTATTGTGCCCGTTCTGAAGAAAGATGGCTCAGTCTGAATATGTGAAGACTTTAAAGCCACTCTCAATCCTGCTTGTGCCACGGAGCAGTACCCGCTTCCGGTAATCCAAGATATTTTTGCCTCATTAGGAGGAGACCCGTTCTCCGGTACTTTCGACTGGCGGGATGCATATAATCAGGTGGTTCTGTATGCGGATTCTCGGAAGCTTTGCGTTATTAGTAATCAAAGGCCTGTTCTGTTACAATAGGCTTCCTTTTGGCATTTCTTCCACCACAGCGATCTTTCAAAAAAAAATTGACACGATACTGTCTGGCCTACTTGGCGTTCAGGCTTACATGGATGACGTTCTGGTCTCTGAAACAGTGGGTAGTTGCGCAGCGAGATAACAAAGTGTGTTGGAATGGTTCCGAGAGCATCGCGTGAAGCTCAGGTACGATGAGTGCAAGTTTAGCCAGCCATCGGTCACTTGTCTTGGCCATCGTATTGATCAAGCTGGCCTTCACGCAACTGAGAAGAATGTAGAGGCTATCGTAAAAGCGCCCAGTCCCAAAAACTTAAACGAGCTACGTTCGTTTCTTGGAATGATAACATTTTTTTCTAAGTTTTTGCCGAACATGACCAACACGTTGTTTCCATTGTATGCAGCGAAAGTCGTCTCGGGGATTTGCAATTTGCAAGTCAGAGTAATTTCTAAAAGACGCCGAGGTATTGGTGCATTTTGACCCATCGAGACAACTCAAGTTAGAATGCGATGCATCCACTCGCGGTATAGGCGCCGTTCTTTTCACATAATTGGAGGCACTAAGAGGCCAGTCGGATTCTGCTCAAGAACTCTGACAGAAGCGGAAAGGAATTATTTTCAGTTAGAACGAGAAGCACTGGCACTGCTTTTTGGAGTTAGTAAATTTCGGGATTCTCTCTTTGGTCGAGAATTCGTCCTGGTTACCGACCACCAGCCACTTCTGGGACAGCTGTGACCCTACCACCAGACACCTGCCCATGCCGCAGCTCACATCCAACGGTGGTCCTTGTATCTGGGAGGTTACCGCTACAAGCTACAATATGCTCCAGGAAGGCAGCTATTGAATGCGAATGCGCTGAGCAGACTGCCACTACAGTGCACAGATCCCACTACGGATCCCGTACCTGAAGAGTACGTTTGTTTGTTTTTTGAAAAGCCTGGATGAAGCGACAGTCACAACGCGCGAGCTTAAGGACCTAACCGCCGATGACTCAATCTTACCGCGTTTAAAACGATACGCGTTGCACGGATGGCCGAAAGGCGCAGGGTGGCTTGACCCTTCCTTATATTTCATTTTGCTGATCGTCAGTTTGAGCTATCTCTGGCACACGAACTCGTCTACTGGGGACATCATATCGTCATACCTGTCGCAGCACGGAAGCGTTTGTTACAATTACTGAATGAGACGCACCAAGGCTCTCTGGCAATGAAAACAGTGGCGCGATCATTGTTTTGGTGGCCTGGAATGGGCCGTAACATGGAGTTAACGGCAGCGAAATGTAGCAGTTGCATTCGAAATTTGCCTATGCCTCCAGCGGTCCCGCCTTTAAACCGGCCGAAAACACAAGAAAGATGGTCGTGGGTGCACGTCGACTTCGCTGGGCCAATGGAAGGCAAAATGATTTGCGTGGCAGTCGATTCTCACAAGAAAAGAATAGAAGTGGTGCCACTGAACCATGCTACTTCGGCAACCACAATTAATTACCTGCGTGACATGTTTAGCCGTTTCGGGGTGCAAAGAACCCTGGTGTCCGACAATGGAACTCAGTTCACCAGTAACGAGTTTGCCATTTTTGTTGACAGAAACATTACACACCTAAGAACCGCCCCTTTTCATCCGCTGTCAAATGGGGCGGCGGTGGAGAGGGCAGTCAGGACGATCAAGGACGGACTACGCAAGGTGAAAGGCTGGACGCTCGAGCATAACCTCACTCGTTTGCTGCTTAATTACAGGAGCACTCAGCAGAAAACCGGAAAGTCTCCAGCTGAAATGTTGCTGGGGTACAAGATACGGTCACGACTGGACACCTGCTTTCCTGCGTCGGCGGGGCCCAATGCAAACGAAGAAAGTGACAAGTTGTTGCCCCCAGTGACCTGTTATGTGCATGTGCGCAACTACGGGCCCAATGGTAAATGGATACCAGGGAGAGTAACAGCCCCATCGGGCGGGCGGATGATCACAGTGGAAACTCCGCAAGCAAGCGTTCGGCGGCACATCGATCAAGTTCATCCTCGTATGGCATCTCCGCAAGGCGAACCATCTTGCACCAGCCCGGACACTAACAGCAAGGACAATACACTGACCGCAACGCCCTTCAGCCTGCTGCTATTCCCAAGCCCCGACGACGCTGCGAAAGCTTCGCCTAGGGAGGTGCTTCCAGACATCCACCAGCATGCGCTGGCTGCTGTCCCAACGCCCACTCCACCCGGGACAAATCAACAAACCACACAACCCCTCCGTCGCCCCGCCGCGGTGGTCTAGTGGCTAAGGTACTCGGCTGCTGACCCGCAGGTCGCGGGATCGAATCCCGGCTGCGGCGGCTGCATTTCCGATGGAGGCGGAAATGTTGTAGGCCCGTGTGCTCAGATTTGGGCACACGGTAAAGAACCCCAGGGGGTCGAAATTTCCGGAGCCCTCCACTTCGGCGTCTCTCATAATCATATGGTAGTTTTGGGACGTTAAATCCCACATATCATCATCATTATCATACAACCCCTCCGTCGCTCCAGAAGAGTACGCAAGGCCATTCTTCGGTTTTAAGAAAGGAAGAAATGTTGTAAATACGGTATCAAACTATGGCGTCATGCTCGAACTGTCATTGCGCATTCGTCAGGCTTTCTTTTTATTGTATTCATTCTGACCTTTCCCTTTCCACTTTTGCTTATATACATGCGTGCAATAAACGCTGTCTGAGTTGTTCCCGGTTCACACGGAATCGTCAACGTCATCGTTCTTTCAAAGCGGCGTCAGACTCATGCCGCCATGCTACATACATAATATCATAAACAATCAGAGGCTTTCCCCTGTACACACCCAAGACCTTTGTTTAGAAGGAGCAGTTTTATTGATAACAATACGTGGATTTTACGTGATTGATTGATATGTGGGGTTTAACGTCCCAAAACCACTATATGATTATGAGAGACGCTGTAGTGGAGGGCTCCGGAAATTTAGACCACCTGGGGTTCTTTAACGTGCACCCAAATCTGAGCACACGGGCCTACAACATTTCCACCTCCATCGGAAATGCAGCCGCCGTAGCCGGAATTCGAACCCGCGCCCTGCGGGTCAGCAGCCGAGTACCTTAGCCACTAGACCACCGCGGCGGGACTGGATTTTACGTGTGTTTAGTATACAGTAAGAGGTATCGAGATCGATGACTGCATTTGGCCCTCCTGTTAATGGTATATTGTGATAATGCACAATTTTTGAAGCAACAGTAGTTCTCTTCGCAAGTATGAATAATACTAAACACGTTTGCAGTGGAACAGTAAAGAAACATACAAAAGGAAAACAAAATATACGCAATAAAACAAAAAATGAAACCATGAATAAATCTAAGCACGTTTGCAATAAAACTGTGCAAAAAATACAAAAGCATAATATAATGCGGAAAATATGCACATCGGAACAAAATAAAGCGATAAAAAACAGTATTTGTAAGCATGTGTACTTACTAGCACTCGTATTTCTCGAAATGTCTCGTATATATTCCACATTTACAGAACCACTGTACCGCGGGTGTTATGCAGGAGAGCAAACTAAATTGTGCGAAGTTCCACAGACGTGTGGTGCTATGTTTGAAAGCGTTAATGTAGGGTATGCGTATGCTGAATGACCAGCAAATGGACATATCGTTCGGCTACGGTTTCCAACGAGTTTTCATTCCAAAGTCCTTTGCAATTTCGCAGCTACGAATGGCCTAGTTAATCATTCACAAACATTCACAGATCTGTGCACTTATGGGCGAGCGCAATTGATAGTGTTTCTCCTATTTTCACCAATTATTTATTAATTTACTTTACTTTCCTAAGAACCTCTCACGGTAGTTACATAGGGGTGGATTACATCACCAAAAAATCGTAACTTTATCATAAAATAGCACTTGCTGTGATGGTCGAAATGCAGATCATAAGATTGATGCAATCGCAATGGCAATTCCAGGTCTCTAGATGCTCTGAAAAAAAAAAACGAACAAAAAACGTAGCAACTGCATTAGTGCCCGTATGGTCACGAGCGGCTCGTAATACATGGCTAGTTTGATGGGCTCTGTAAGCAGTAGGGTGATGTAAGGCTCGTGATTAGGTGGAAAATAAAGGCTCATGCAATAAAAAAGGAGATGCTGGCAGATTCGCGTAGGAAAAGCAGAAGAGACAAAACGAGTATAATTTTTTAAGGCTGAAATGCTCATGTTATGGGATTGTAAACAATGGGTGAATCTTAGTGCATGCTTTTAAACGGATTCAAAGCCGTTGTGTGACCGATATCGAAAGTATAAGCCCGTCTTCATAAAAACGTCTTACGTTAACAAAGTTTGCTGGAACTTGCTTCAGCCAATCGTGAATCTGGGCTCGCCGTTACAGAAGCTTGTTGGTGAATGGCGAAGAAACATTTACAAAAGAGAAGCTATGCGATTTCAGCTTCTCGCTTTTGAAGGGGACATGCAACACTGTTCGAGTATGGTCAGAAAACGCTGCTGATCGGTAGTCCAGGCTCCCGAAAACACGTGGCACAAATGTTATAGCACAGCACGTGGCTGAAATTTACAATACTCAAAGCGAGTTACAAAATCTCCTTCTCTTCTCTCAACAAATGACACTAAAGACTAAAAAATTACTGCGTCACAGGCCAAGTATCAGCCATTGGATGATTTGAGCATGGCACGCTCGCACGTTACAGGGGCCGCCGCGGGGGGCATTGACTTGTCCTTTGGTGCGCGCGCGAGCACCCTGAAAAGCCGCGCATTCCAAGAAAAAACAGAGTTCTCAATGTCACGAGGAGCGCTGACTTACTTTCGTCGTCCGTGCCATCCCTCCGTGCTCAGCTTCCAGAGCTTTCGTCGGGACGAGAGAAGAGAAAAAGCGTGCGTCAAATCTTCGTAGCTTCACTCGATCTGTACCAGCCGGTTCTAATCATTTTTGCGACAGTGAACTTGTAAATCAATAAGCACCTTCAGTGAATTCATTCTATGGCTACTTGGATAACGGCTGGAGGGCCTCTTTCTAACCTTAATTCACCCCTCACGATCAACCCCTATCGCGACAATGCGATGTTTCGACCCGATGTTAGCAATCGTATCATGCTGGGTGTCGATTCTTACACCTCGAGGTGGAAATTAGCAGTACCAAACCTGTTGCTATAGATAAAAACGTACGATTGCGTATATTGTGGATGCTCCCATCTCGATGGCGGGTTGGACTCCAGCTGCCGGAAGGGAGGGAGAAAGCACTCCACTCGGAGCAGCGGGACTTTAATACAGTCTAATAATAAGTGTTCATGCCAAAACTACGATATGAATATGAGGAACACTGTTGTGTAGGGCTCCAGAAATTTCGACCACCTGGGGTTCTTCAAGGTGCACCTAAATCTAAATATCTAAATTTCGACCGCCATGGCTGGCATCGAACTCACGCCCCCCGGGACAGCAGGCGAGCACCAGTGATCACTGAACCATGCACAATTAAGGAATAGTTTTGCAGCGATAACATATTGCAGTGATATCCGCTTACAGTCACTATAGAAGGCATTTGTGTGTCCTGGCTGTGAACAATAAAGGTGTATAAATTTTTTCTCGGACAGTGCGCGCTCTTACCTTGATGCAGAATTTGTGCTTGAATGTGGTTTGATTCCTCTGCGCAATGCAGTGAAGTGGAAACTTCATGGGTCATCGCCGTTGCTATATTCCGTTTTTAAAACCAGGTCAGCTATTACAGCTATCATATAAAACACATTCCTCAAAAGGTTTAATCATTTCTACATTCACAGGTTTCATAAGCTGGCAGCAGATGATATTGAATATGTCGGCTTCTCAATACCCCGAGCTATACTCTTTCATTCGAATGGGAATATATCACTTCCTGTCACAAATATAACACGATAAACATAATGTCGCTTCGAAACAAGGTTATTGTTTTATTTTACTTATACATAACACGGTTTTGCTGACCTCTTGGTATGGCATCATTTATCTACAAAATTGTATTCTCCAGCACAACATTGAAGGGGGCCGTCGGTGGTCAAACGGATGTGGTTTTGTCGGTTGAGCCCATGAATGTGCTTCGCAAAGTGGAGCTACGCTTGGCTGAGTGACATCGGCTGGAAGCTGGTTTCATGAGTGATTTATGTGGGGGCCTGCGAAAAGTGCAGTGCAACAGGCAAGTGAGGCAGGTCAGCGCACCTTGGCGGAATTTCTCATTCAGCCAGCAGTAGATGAACGGGTTGTAGCAGACGCTACTCATGGCCAGCCAGTGGAAGGAAATGAAGAGGTTCGAGTTGTGGCGGTCGGGCCCGTCGGTAGCGCGGAAGTGGGCCACGAGGTGGTACACGTTCAAGGGCAGCCAGCAAACGGCGAAGCACGTCACTACTAGCACGAGCATCTTAAGCGACTTGCGCTTGGAGCGTGTGTACCAGGCCTGCTGTTCACGCGTGAGGGCGCCGAGCGCTTGGCGTGACCACAGCGTGTAGCTGACGCGGCTGTACATGAGTGCGGTGAGCGTCAATGGCAAAGCGTACTGCGTGAGGAAAGTGGCCAGCGTTAGCCACTTGCGGAACTCTGCCGGGGGTGGCGGATACTGCACCTGGCAGCGCACCAGTGGTCGGTAGGTGAACAGTGACACGACGCGGTTGAACACGGCGTGCGGCAACGATAGGAAGCCGGCCAGCGTCCAGATGCTCGCGATGGCCCGGTGGCTCGGGCAGAGGCGCTTCAGACGCAGTGGGTAGACGATGACGCTGTAGCGGTCGCACGCGATCCACGCCATACTAAGCGTCGACACGTACACGAACGTCACTTGCATGAATGGCACGAGGTAACACAGCGCTTCTCCGAATGGCCAGTTGTCGAGCAAGAACCGCGATGCGCTCAGCGGAATGGTCAGCGTGGTCATGAGCAGGTCGGACACTGCGAGGTTGGCGATGAGCACATTTGTCTTTGTGCGCATTTTCCGCGAGCAGAACACCACGTGACACACGAGTGTGTTGCCAAACACCGACACGAGCACAACGAGGCCGTAAAGCAGGATGACGATCAGGTCGCGCGGTTGTCGTAGCAGCGGCCGCGCCTCGAGGGACAAGTTGCGCAGCAGCGAGCACAAAGCGCTCAGGTTGGCTTTCAGGTCTGCATCCCCGCACGGATCCTCGGAGAAGGGCCACGTGCCGTTGGCGAAGGACGCGCCGTCCATGTGACTGACTACTAGTTGGTCCTCAGCCAGCCATTCCAACTTAGCGTCGCAGTGGTCTCAGGCCCATGTGCCTGCACATGTACATGTACTCTGCGTAAATCGCGCTACAATAGAATAAGAAGACAGCCACATTCGTCAAGTATATACATTAGCTCAAGCTCCGCGCTAATCTTGAGGAAAACAATGGGTAATACGACAGAATGGTTCATATAAAGTGGTGTCGGTCAACCAGAGTAGCTATAATATGCAATTGCGATCATGAATGATCTTTAGGAACAAATAGCTGCAAATTATGTACCTAATGGCTCTTCAAGAAATTATTGATAGTGGCCCTGCTTTGAGCTAGAAATGCTTTACCGACGAAAAATTTTGTAGTGATCAATTTTCAAAAATAATGCATTTTTGGCGAAATACAAATGCACGACGCATGCAGCTCTGTGTACGTCCTACATTTACCCTCAGTCTGAGTTTGCCCAGTTGATTTGCCAAGATGATTTAGGCTCAGAAGCCCATATACATCTTAACGCTTCAGATAAATCATGTGCTCGGCTCGCACAGGCCAAAACATTTCTATCAGTATGTACATTGCTACTTGAACGGACCTGCATGTTGACGAATGAGAATAAACCTTAGAGTGTATTCGGATACCCTCTCTGAGAACTCTTATAATAATAATTTCTAGAGTTTTATCGGCCAAAACCACGATATGATTATGAGGCACGCTCAGGACCACGTTGGGTTTTTGAAGGGAACCGAGAACTGCCCAGGACTTGAAATGGGAAGACTTCACTGCTTGCCCACTGATTGTGCGTCGCATTGACTGAAACCAACCCTGTTTGTTTTTTTTTTCTTTCAGTGAGAGATGGATTTATATTTCTACTTATTCAACGAAAATTGCGAAAAATGACTTGTGGCACCTCTGGTGGCAAAAAAATAGACGATCCGATGTACCTGGTCACGTTGCCGTTGATTGCTTAACGCGGTCGATGACATTTTGGTTAGTATTTAAATATTGTTGGTTTCTTTATATAAAAGATACTACTCTGCGCAAATGTAGCTGTAGGCCGGCGTTAGTAGTACACCCTAAATAGGCGCTGCCTTTGCAAGAACGAATTGATGTCATGCTCGTTAGCGCTTCTTGAGCGACTTTTCAGCGTGCTCATGCAACTGTGCGCGCAGTTTCCAGGTGGCTAAAATTTTGTGTTGACATAGCTAACTACACTTCGTCTCAATTACGACGTGCCCAACTATACGCGGCACGGCCATGCATATGCGTAGTGACTACAGTGTAGCAGTGATGTTTTTGGTGGCTTGGATTCGCTCATGTACTGAGCGTAACGACGCCGGGACAAGCCGCCCATTGCACAGGCGCAAGCAACCTTGGGCGCGGGCTCACTCAATGCGGTATAAATCGAGCGAAGGTACATAACGCCACGTCATCTCATTGTAACAGGTGTAAATTTTCGAAATAGTTGAAAAGCTCCAAATAGAGTTGGTTATACATAGTCATAGGAACTCCTGCGAAAGCAGAACGACGACAGCTTTCACAAATCGTGAGGAGGGCTGACAGCATCGCTATGAATTCTCAGCGTTACTGAAGAAAACGTGCAACTGTGTTTACAGCCTTCCAGATCAGAAGATACTGCTTGTAAAATAAATACGGGCTTTTAGGATTAACTACTGCAGCTGCAAAACACAACGAAGGGTGAGCTTCTGTCGCACCATAAAAAAAAATTGGTCGGGAAAAATCAGTTGTCAGTGCTTTTAACGTGCTCACGAATCCTGGTAAACGGGCTTCTGACATTACGCCTCCATGAATATGCGACTGCTATGGCCGATTTCGGACCCGTGAATTTTAGGTCAGTACCTGGGCCAACTGCAGCACCTTGGTGTCTTGGAGCTATATTAGATTCTCTCGCAAAAAGATTGGGAATATCAAGTAATTCCGGTTTCAAGCCTATTATTAGCGAATGCAGCTACCACATAGTTTCATAATAATAAATATATTGTAGAAACCTCTATGGCAGCCACCAGTGACAGCAAGCTTTTACAGATGAAACTCTCCATGAATTCAGTGTGAGCCAGTAACTGTACTTGTAGGTATTCCCAAACTAACTCTACTGTGAGTATGCCTAAGCCTATTGCGAACTCGTTCAGACCATAACGGTTGAATAGTATACGCTGTGCTATATTCATTGTTTTATATGCTTGGTCTCGCACTCGATCGTTGACTCTTGAATACGAAAACACTGATGTTTTCATCCGGTACATCGTGATGTCGTTGTTAGGGAAAACATGTAACCATGAAGATGCATGTTTTATTTATTCAGTAACGAGAGTACTTGGGGGTGCTACTCTTATACGCGGTTACGTAGATCGAAATGTGTCAAACTATGTCGTCAGGATTGTTTGACACAAAGCGGCTATTTCAATGTCATTTTAATTGTAAGGGATGTTGGCGTCTTTTATGAACCGCTCTAGAGCATAAGCTGCCTCGTCATTTCAAGCCCTCAACGCATTCATTTTTATTTGCCACCTTAATCCGGTATATAGACGAAACAAAAAGGGTGGTACTCCCTTTCAGATGGTACCACATGCAGCGTGGTGCAGAAAATGGCCATATTAGACAGAACATAGTGGCTCCATAGGATTCACTATGCTCACATGGCAAGTTTACTTTTCCTCTACTCAAATTTGTTGCCATTTATGTAGTAATTACTTTACTATTGTCTCTTATACCTTCCTTAGCCTCATTGTCTGTCTGTTTTATTGGGGTTTTATTTAACTAACGGAAACTACTGTTGCCCCTCCCCCTCCCCCTGTGCTGATTTGTGCTTGAAATCTACGAAGAACGCAAACCGTCGCCGTGAAGCCACAGTGTACCCTGACAAGCTTTAGAATGGACAGTTACCGGTGATGACAGCACTTCTGTCTATTTCCCAAGTTAATAACCGCCTTCTTCAGTGACGTATCAGTTGTAGCACCGCAGCGCACTAAGAGACATTCAGATAGAGGTTTCGTAGTTCGAACTCAAAACTCAGCGCAGCAAAAAGACAAAAATCAGAACAAAAACTCCAACATCAATATGTCACATCAAGACTTGCTGTACAATCGTGACAAAAAAGCGGATGAGTCATAGGAACTGGTACATCTTATACCTATACTTCTTCCTTGTTATTTCTCGTGTTCATTTTCTTCGAGTTCTACGCACATCTCATTTATTTTTATATTAACGCTTATGCAGGGCGCTACAGGACGCTGACTGAACGCGCAAAAGGATACTAGATGAATAAACATTCGCTTTACTATTCCAGCCCGGAAAGAGACCGCATTTACAACGTACCATTCATTGTAATGATACTCATACGTGTCAGCGCATTTTTGTTGAAATATAGTAGAGCACGTGCTGCAAGGTTGCTTGGTTAACAATAAATGTTCTAAGTTGACAATAAATGTTCTAATGGAATGAGAAATTCGAGGGGATCATTTTTAAGGCTCACATGTGGCAACACGAAATGCTGTATTGGCTGCCAATGAATATGATCATCAAACATGGCTTGTGTCAAGGATTTAGCTTCATCCGAGATTTCGTTCACGATGCTTAAAAACTGGTGCTCATTTTCGCAAAAGCTTCTTATACTATAATCGTTTGAAGGAAAAAACTTTAGTTCATCCTGACGCTGAAGTACGCCGAAGGAAAATAGAAAGAAAGCAAGCAAATAAGGCAGGGCTTGTAAGGCCAACCTAAAAGCGCTTCTTCACCTCTGCATATTTTCTTGAGAGTCTTGGCGTCACTGAAGACAGCAACCGGTATGTGCAAAATAGAACTGTTTGAGGTGTATTGTTTTTTTTTTCAGAAATATTCAAATGGAGAAATCGACTGAATTTCATAGAAACCTAAAGCGCGCCTAAGTATCTTCAACTTCTAAAGAGCTGGAATAAAAATCTGGCAATTCCTTGTTGTAACATGAGCTCGAAAAGGCAGTTTTTAATAAAAACATAAGCCAAATACTCAAACTGTTTCTTTAAAACTGAGCTACATTCATCAATCCAGAAGTAAACGTGATTTAGTCTACCTACATGCCCACATAATATCCCTGCGCATGTGCTCTATGCGTGAAGTTGAACGGGGAAACCCGTAGCAAGAAAATTATTTAACTACTTAGACTATCTCACGCGAAAAGATAGAAGATGGCACAATATTCAACTCTTCACAAATGGCGCAATGACATCATAATCATGACGTATAATATAAAGAAAGCAGGCCGAGCTGTAAATATCACTTTTCTAGAAGCCTGCATTACTATTCGCTCCATGTTCTACATTTAGCAGGCTGCCTGGCTTGGCACATTTGATATATTATCAGTAAAAGGCTCCGTTTGCTGACATTTACTTAATTTTTTATTCTATACTGTCGTAATATTGCGCCAATTCTGGTTGGGCCGTTGCCACAGGCATCTTCTCCTCCATCATTGCCTCTGTGCAAGAAGAATGGCGGCTTATAGGTTCATTTGCATCCGTGAGAGAAAGAGGATTGAAGTTCAGAACAGAATAAATAAAAAGAAACTACGAAATTATTGGACGGCATATGAAACAGGAACAAGTTCCGCAAAAAAAAATAAAGACGAGACCACTCACTCCGATCACTGACCATAAGTTCGTCTCGAACAAATGACAACTCCGCGGTTAGCTTTGTTCTCCTATATTGTTTCCGAAACCTATCACAACTGCAAATAACTAAGTTCAAGTAATCATAAGGATGATGACTCCACAAAGGTATTAAATAGCATGTGCTGTTCCTCCACTAGCGGTGTCCGATGTTCTTGCTACGAAATATCGTCCCTCTAGGTTATGAGGAAAGTACCGACATATGAACCTGATCATCATTCCAAAATCCAAACATGGAAAATTGTCTCTTACTCTTGGTTTACCTTTCTCATTTCTTTCCCATTCTATTTGACCTCAAGTGGCTACGCAATAACAAACCGCGGTTGATGGAC